TTGATTGAGGGTATTTAAGAAATTTTAAATTTTTTAATATATAAATTAATTAAAATGACATGGATAATAAGTTATTTTTCATGTAATTAAATATTTTAAATAATAATTGATTTCGTGGCAACTTAACGTGCCATCTGGCACTTCCGTCGACGGAAGGACCAAAATGGTTCCAAAAATTGAAGTTTAGGGATTTTTTTAGTACTTTTTTTAGTTTGAGGGTATTTTTAGTCCAAATATGAAAGTTCAGGGACTGAATCGGGGATATAACCATTAGATAATTAATTAGTACTTTCTTTTCAGTTTAAAGGTCCATTTTTGGTGTCTTTTATTTTTCAGTTCAAAGTCCCAAACGGTTTTATGGCTAAAAGAAAAAAACTCCGCTTTCTCCGCCGCGTCACTAGCTATCTTATCCTCCAAAGCGTCAATCCCCTCAGACAACGCCAGCCCACCCAACACTCCTGCCACCGCACCCACAGCCAATCCCATCCCCATCTCTCCAAACTTACTTTTCCTCTCCGTCGGTGCATTATACTCGGCCGATCCTTGATAAGCTGGCTTTCCGTACGGATGAGTGGGGTAACCGGCCACGGGGGCGCCTTAAAGTAAGGATTTACTGGCGGCGGCGGCGGAGGAGATCTTGGTGGGTGAATCCATAGTTTATGGCGTTATGCAATTTGGGTTGGGTAATTTGGTGTTAAAATGAATTAAATATATTTTTTTATGATAAATTTATATTAAAAGAATAAAAATTAATTTTTGATTTATTAATTATATAATTAAATTTATTTTAATAATAATAAAACTAAAATTCATATCAATTTTTACCTTTCTTTAAGAACGTAAAAATTCATTTTTAGTTAGATGAGAATATTATTACATTTTATTTTGATAATGTTATACATAAAATTATGAATTGATATATTTATCCATTATTCTAAAAATAATATATATTTTTTTGAAAACTACCTTTTTTTTAGCTTCTCCGTAACCCTTACCGCTGCACCCCTCATTCTATTTCATTTATTCCCTTTTCGAAAATAAATTTGACTTTATTTTTCTTTTTCTTTAAAATAATCAAATTATTTTGGAAAAAAAACAAAAAATAAAAATTATGAATCAAATCATTCTTAATAACAATTGGTAATGTAAATAATAAAAGAGCTAAACATCAATTATAAAATGTAATTAAAATTACAAATATATAAATTAAACATTATCCTCTAAAGGAAGTCCACGTTATAAATTTGACTAATATGTTATACTAATAACTAGGACCGTAAATTCATCTAAATCAAAATTCACAACCTTTAAATTGCACAAACAATGTGCATTTAAGAAGACACCCCAAAAGGCATGAAAAGTTTGAAGAAAAATCTACTTTGGGTCATTCATACACACTCATGAAAAATTTTGCTCTTCAGTAGTTAGATCGTGAAATTTAAACAGGGAAAATGTATATACCAAATAAAAAAATGATTTTGGGACAACATTTTGGTATTACCTAATCTATCATTTAAATGATTGGTTAATTTTATTTATGTGAAACCCGTGATATTGAATGCATTCACTTATTTAATAACATATAAAAATTGTATTAAAATGTGATATAAAAAAGTTATCCCTATAGCATCACCTTAACAAATACTTAATAAAATGTCTATACTTACATTGAAATAAAAGAAGCTAAGTTTCAAATTCATTAGCCTACCAAAACAAGTAATCAGTTAGTTAACTTAATTTGAATCAACAATTTATAATTAAGTTTAAAACACTGAAAAGAAAGCCTTACCTTATCTAATTACAGGAAGAGACAAAATCCAAACCAGGTACCATATTCAAGTCAATTCCTCAATCCCACGTTCATCAACTGAGTTAGCAAAGGAATATGTGATTTGCTCACCAACTTTGTCTTTGCTAGGACATTTACGAATATGATGCCTAGAATTCTTACAACCACTGCATTTTCTTCTCTTTTCCACAACCTCAAATCTTGAAGGATCTCTTTGCATTGAGCTTGATCCCCATTTTTT